GATGACTTTTTGCAAATTAAGGTGATTCGAGATGAATTTTGTGTGAATTTTCAAAGGGACACTTGTTCTACACACCTATTGGAGTAATTCAATGCATCTAGACACTTTGGAAGATTCTTTAATGAAGGGATATGTCTCTTGATCAAATGACATATCTTTTGAATTCAAAAGAGTTGACTTTTGGAGGGAATTTGGAATTCTTTTCAAAGGAGGCAGCCTAAAAATAAAAGAGAAGACTTCAAGGGGGCTTAGAGAGGGACGATGAAGGGAGACAGAGAGAAAGTTGGCGTGAGAGTCAAGAAGAGAGAAGAGGAGATCTTCTTCTAGGGTTGTAAGAGGTGAGAGAAGGTGAGAGATTTCATCTTCACTCCACTTCTAAGAGAGAATTGAGTGGGATTGTTAAGAGAGAAAGACTTGGAGAGAACTTCTAGGGATTTGCTTGGGAAGGATTGTGAGATAAATTGTGCCTTTTATTTCTTTTGTTTTGTAAACTTATTTTAATATATAAAATTCGTGTTTTGTTGTATCCTTCTCATGAATTCTGAGTAGTTTTCTTTATTCTTCTCCCTACTTTGAGATATGGCTTTGTGAAAAAATGATTTTGTTTTCTACCATTTTAAATGTTAATAATTTATGAAGATTTAAACTCCGATCTTCATTTACTTGTCGATCTGGCCAATTGAAATGTTAAAACTTATTGAGAAACATATGTTTTGAAAAAGTATATGATTTCTACAACATAGAGAGAGTCACATTTGATTTCATGGGAGAATATGTCATCCATGGGATTGGATGCAAATAAATAGGGAAATATACTTTATTTGTAGAATTGATGACATATTAAAATCCCCAATTTGGCCCAGTTGATTAGAAACTGATGCAAGATTGTTAGCCCTCAGGTGAGGGAGTAGTGGGAGCTTTGGAGGGGCAGCCGGTATCTTCCCAACCTAACCACAAAATTAGGAACCAAACTCTGGATTAGTCAATTTTCTTTATAACACTCGGAAGAGGGTAAATAATAAGATTGCTCTTATTTGATACAAAGCAGTTTATATATATATTTTTTCAAATGATTTCAATTTCTTCACAATTCATATACTCGTTATAAAGGAGAACGATGCTTTCTTAAGTTTGAACTTTCCATCAAAACAAAAATTTTGGTTAGTTTCACAAAAACTTTTTTTATATTCGTAATTTTACTTTTGAAAGTTAGTTCTTAGTCAGTTAATTTTGTTTTTCAACTGCATTTTATATAGCATTTACCTTAATAGTTAAAATTTAAAATTTGCAATTTACTTTTTGTAGTTTTAAAAATTATATTATATTTTTAATTATAAAATAATTTATTTTTGTATTTTTAATTATAAAATAATTTCAAATTTCCAACTTCCCTGTTGACCAACTTCCCTGTTGAATTGATATCTAGGACTCCATTAGAGCCCTTTATTACTTGAGTGATATGTATACTTGCGTTGATTTTAACGGGGATTTGACAGTTTAAAAAAGGTTTAAAAGATAAATTATTTTCATAAAAGGTATTTTTGTTGGGATTATATTACATATTTATTATATATCTACCGTGTGTAATTTTATAATATTGAAAAATATTTACAAAATTTACACACTAAATCTACGCCTGCATCAGAGCAGATTGGAGTTGAAATGGGGCGAAACGGAGTGAAACGGGGGTGCTGTTAGTAGGGTGGCGCCAATCTATCCCAGAAAATGGCAACTAGGTGCAAGAAATGGTTGTGGACGAATCTAAATGCCTCAAGAAGTTTATAAGGCACCTTTTGGGACTCGGGAAGACACCTTTTAACATTTTTAAACTCTTGGAAACCCCAAGAATGTCCAGAGGTCATATATAGGAGTAGGAGATGTAGATTTCTACATTTTCTAGAGAGATTGGTGAGGGATTTGGAGAGATATGCGTAAGAAATTGTACAAGCATCACATAAATCGACAGAAGACTTTGTTGGAGGGATTTTCATCTTTCTTTCATAGGGACAAACCTATATCATTCCTTTTTCATTGAATGGAGACACCTTTCTGAAAAGACACCATGGCACCCCTTGGATTTTTATAAGAAAAGACTTAGATTTTCCACAAAAAGAGGTTAGCAACTAACCACCAAAATTTACAACCGCTGCCCATCCCCACCGCCGCCGTTGCTGTCCATCCCCGCCGACGCCGTTGCCAATCCCCCCCCCCGCCGCCCCCCG